TGTTTTTGATTTCTAACATTTCCACTTTGGTCATATCTACTCTGTATGATTTCAATCCTTTGGTATTTATTGAGATTTCTTTATAGTCCAGTATATATGTAAAGCTTATCTCTTATAAGCAGCATACATTTGGAATTTTAATCCAGTCTGATAATTTTTTATTTTAATTGGAATAAATATTACATTTACATTTTTCTTTTGCTTGGAAAACTCCCTTTAGTATATACTTAGCTGGTGTGTCACAATAATTTTTTTTCAGTTTTTGTTTGAAAGTATCTTTATTTTGCCTTTAGTTTTGAAGGATATTTTCAGTGGGCTTAGAGTTCTAGATTGGTGCTTTATTTATTTATTTTTTTCCAGCATTTATATCATTCCCAAGCCAGCACTTTACCAACGTGCCACTCGGCCGGCCCAAGAGTGGTTTTCTTTGAATAACTTCACCTGCATCCCCTCATGACTCTGACCTCTTTTATTGTCATCACAGCACCTGTCGTTACTTGAAATCATTTAATTTATTTACTTACGTGTATCTCCCCCACAACAGAATATAAGTTTCACAAGAGCAGGGACCTTTGTATTTCCTGCATCTAGAATATTATCTGGTACACAGAAGGCACTCAATGAATATTTAATACTACTACTATTACTACTACTACTAATAACAACAAGTATTTAAATTACATTTACTCTTTTAATTCTTATAAAAGTTCTATGAGGGAAATACTATTATTATCCCCACTACACAGGTGAGGACACTCACTCAGAGAAGTTGCTTTACTTGCCCAAGTTTTACACCTAGTAAGAGGTAGAGCAGGGGGTTTGAACCCAGCAAACTAGCTCCAGAGCCCAGTGACTACGTGGATGAATGGTGTTACCTCTCTCCCTGAGTAGAAATCCTTTCCACAGCCGTTAGATGGTGACTGGCTTCAGCTTGAACACCTCCAGTGACGGGGAACTCCCTGCCTTCCGAAGCACTTGTGCATGATCCTGACTATCAGAAAATTCTTCCTCACCCTGAGTTAAAATCTGCTTGCCTGTGGTTTAACTCAAAGGGCCCTGTTTTGCCCTCTGATGCCAGAATATGTGTGCCCTGGAAAAGGGGACAGTGCCTCAAATCTTTTGTTGGGAGCATTCGCAGGCTGCACTGATCTGGGACAGATGGTCGGTTGAGGAGAAAGGGGAACGGCCAGAAGATCAGGAGGCCTGGGCTCTAGTCCTCACTTGGTCCTGGCTGACCTGGATGGGTCATTTTGTCTCTAGACTTCAGCGTCCCTGACTGTAAAATGTGGCCCCTGGGGAGACGACTTCCAAGTATCCCTCCAGCGCATGCATTTCTGCTGCCTATGATCCTTATTTCCAGAGTTTTTAATACATCAGATATTCACTGAGAGTACCTACTGTTTACAGGGCACTTAGGAGGTATGGCCTGTGGGCTCTGGAGTCTGACAACCTGGGCTGGCAAACCAGCTCTGCCCTTTATAACCGCTGTTGCCTTGGACCAATTATTAAACCCTTGAAAGATGGTATGGACTTTGTCTTATAGGACGCGGGTAGCAGGCAAAAGTGCTTCCACAGCCCCCTCCCCCCGATACCAAGTGAAGTATAACCAGGGGTGTTGAACATATGTTTAATAGTGTTGACCTTTATATTGGTCAAGCAACAAACATTTGGGGGGCCTTGGTTTTTACCTAACACTTATTCCCTATTTTCTGGGCACCACGCTAAGCACATGTGTATTTTATCTCATTTACTCTTTGTAATCATTGAGTTGGATATCATCATTGGGGTATTTTTTTGGTTTTTGAGTTCTCATTAAAGAGTATTCTCTTCCTCCTCCTGAGTTCTGAACACATTGACAAATAAAGGGTACCTGTCAGATCAGAGTAAAATGAATGTCATCTCTGATTGATAATGGGAAGGTGGAGGACACAGCAGGCCATGAGGCTTGGTGGGCTGGGAGCTGGACAGACTTCCCCACCTCATTTCAGGCTCAGGGCTGGTCCCCTCACATGGTCCGATGGTGGGAGCGGTCAGCTCCTGGAAGAGCAGATCTCTCCTAAGAGGAGAAAGGGAACAGCTGAGCCTAACATCCCTCTTTTCTTTCTTCTCCCAGTTAGCCAGTTAGATCAGTTGCACTTCTTCCCTTAGGATGGAGTGAGTAAAGGGGAGGAGATTAAAGGTCTAAACGAGACCAGTAGAGTTCCCTCCAAACTCCCAGAAGACACTGGGAGTTGAGAACAAGTGCCTTCGTACCCCAGCAATTATGATTCCCGTTTCCCAGATCAGGAAACCGAGGCACAGAGCATTGAAGGAACCTGTCAGTGTTCTGGGTGGATGCAGATCTGAGGGCTCACGTGGGTTTGCTTTCAGCTGTCTCGCATCCCCTCAGGCAGGCATGTTTGTGCAGTGCACATACCGTGTAACTGAATGCAGCACCCTTGGTTTGAAACCCGGGCCAAAATAACTTCATTTGCTAAATCTTGCCCTTCCCAATCCCCCTCCGTCAGTCCTGCTCCCTCTCCATTTATTTGATTCAGTTTAGTAAACATGGGTGTGAGTCCTAGTGTGTATCAGATCCCATGAGCTCCTCAAGGTGAGAGAGACGTGTGCATACGTAATTCTTTTAAAACATGACAAAGGACAGTGAGATGACAACAGAGCTGGCTTGTATGCACAGCGCATGCTCCACCATTCAGACCTAATGAAGCTGGAGGAAAGGTGGTTACTTGGAGCCTCCTCCGGGCCTGGCAGCATCAGCTCAGGGATGGAAGTCACACCAAGGGGCAGGGGCAGGGGGCATGTGCATGTGTCCTGGGGGAGAGGGAGCAGGTGAGGAAGTGACCTGCTGAGACGTTAGGGGACCCGAATCTGTGCAGTCAGGCGCTTCTCACTCTGACTCCTGAGATCGTCTCAGTTACTGACAGGACTATTTTCTGCTTCAATTTTTGTTCCTCTCTTGTGTGTTTAGAAACTCTGTCGTCTGGGCTCCCTCTGTGGGGGGATGTAGCTGTTTGGGGCCATCTGCCGTTTGTCACTGGCTTGTCAAGACTGTCCTTGGTGGGTTCCTCTCACGATCAGTGAGAGCCGCAGGGATTCTGGCCCTGACCTGGGCAGTCCTGCCACCCTCGCCTCATGCCGCGTCCCAGGCTGGACCTCCCCCTGCACGTTGACATGTCCCTCCTCCCCCCCACACCTGGCCCAGAGCAGGCCCTCGAGAAACCTTAGGTGCACGGCCAAGAGCGTGTTAAGTCCCTAGAGCTAGGTGTTCCAAGCATGGTGGCCCCCCAAGTGGTACTTTTTGAAGGTTAGTAGTCTGGCTGGGGGCGACCTCACTTGTGGGNTCCCAAGCCAGCTCTTAACCAATGCGCCACTCGGCCGTTCCAGGATGTTCTTTATATTTGAGGCTGTAAAATATTTGAGGATATTTGAGGAATCCTATCATGGCTCATCAACTCTGTTTCTGTTTCTTGTTTCCTGGTCCCATTTTGTAGGCCAGACTTGCCCTGACATGAAAGTATTTTCTACTCTTTCCAGTTAAGGATGAAGCGCAGCCTGGTTAGAAATCACCACAGACTTGCGAACGGGCTTGTACGAGTGCCTGTTAAATGTGGAATTTAGTATCGTTGTTAGCGATTCCTTTGGGGAATCTATTTAATGGAAATATCCCCCCCTTTTTTTTTTGCAGACATGACAATCTTGATGGGGATGTACTTGGTAATTTTGTATCATCCAAAAGGCCCCCCCACAAAAGTAAGCCCTTGCAGACTGTCCCAGCCGAAAGCCTCCCTGTGGCCCCTGCGAGGGAGAAGACGGACAAGCTTCAGTCGTCAGAGCCGCCCCTGGACACGAAGAGGGTGGGAGAGAGGATCAGGCCCAAGTCGGGCCTCATTGTCCGAGGCATGATGGCTGGGCCCACCGCCAGCTCTCCACAGGTGACGCTGTTGCTCCTATTATTATTATGAGAGTGGAAACTGAGAACTGGGGTGGGGGAGCTTAAGGAGCTGCTTGGGCTTATTTTGGGGTACCCCACAAGATAGCCCTAAAAGAGGGGATCTGGGTGGTGGGATGGGAAGAATGCCTACCCGTTTTCTCCCTGGCTCTACTGTCATCTCCTTGTGGGACTCTGGGCGGGCCTCATCTCCTTCCCTGCCCTCAGTTTACCCATCATGTCAGCGAGGTGGATGCCAAGGTTTTGTGTGGCTTTGCCGAGCGAGAACACATCTGTCCAGCTTTAGCTTTGCAATTCAGGAGTGGGGGGACCCATCCAAGTCTAGGGAGCATCTTAACATTTAACATGATAGCTAAAAGGGAAAAAGAACCCCCAATCCTTGTAGTTTCGTTTGCTTTGCTTAAAAAAAAAAAGCATCCTAAAGATTTAACATCGTTGTTTTATAGTGTCCCTGAAGGAGAGAATATGTTAGGATCTGATCAGGTGGGGGGACTAAACCAAACGAGAAAGTAAATATAAACGAACTTTGTAGAACAACAGAGGAAAATCAAACACCCAACTCAAAGTATAGTATCAGATAAATCAGGGAGCCTCAGCAAACCAAAACGAGGCGGTTTGCATCCACGGCTGGTCACCTCCATTCTCACGTGCTGTGTGTGTAGGTGTGGGCTGGGGCTGTAGACGCCAGCAGTGCAGAAAATCCCACTTACAGAAGAGGCGGAGGCTCCCCTGACTCTCCCCACATCTTGTGAGATTTTGCGTCTTTATTCCCTTTGGCCGTGGTCGTGTTTGTTAGACCAGGTTGAAGGCCCCTTCGAGCGCTGGGGTTTCGTGGCTCTGAGACGGTATTGCTGTGTTGATGTCCAGATCAGAGCGGGGAAGGCCTGCTCCATTCTGTGTGGTTCAGACCACACCTTGACATCATGTTTCATCCTAAGTATCTTGTACTTGAAGGTCATTCAGAAACCAGACCATGTGTAGAGGAAAAGAACGAGGGAGGTAAAGAGTTTGGAGGAAACGGAAAGATTTGGGAGTGTTTAATCTTGGGAGGATAAGGCTGGTGGGACACAGGACGGAATGTAAGAGATTTCTTCAAACGTGGAGATAGGAATAGCCTAGTCCCAGGATGGCAAACATGTGACCTTCAGGTGACCTCTTCATGCTGCTCCCTGATGTCCTGCCTGTGGCAGACATCACTAGTGGTTCTCAGTGCCCTTTTTCCTATCAAGCCTGCATGTGACTTGAGAACCTCCGGGGCATGTCGGGCAGTTACTCCCAATGCATGGAATGGAGTGGCGAATGAGAGGAGCCCTATTCGCCGTCTTGAGCTTAGGTTGTAAACCCCATGGAAAGCAGGGACTTCACCGTGTTTGAGCACAGAGCATGGTGTGTGGCCTTTTGTTGGGCTGAGTGGTGTAGACTTGCTTGGTGGCTTCAGAGAGCCCAACCTAGGGCCAGTGGGTGGAGGCCGGTGTGAGGAGCTCTCAGTCAGAGTTGCTTCCGCAGTGGCACAGGCCATTTTGGAAGAAACTAGATTAGATGTGTTCAGGGGAAGCCAGGTACCCCATCTGCTGGGGACATTGTAGAAGGGGTCCTGTCTGGTTGAGAGTTTAGACTATATCAGCAGTTGTCCAACTTTGTAGTCTCAAGATCTCTTTATGCTCTTAAAATGATTGAGAAGCCTGAAGGGCTTTTGTTTATGTGGGTTATGCCTGTTGACATTTACTATATTAGAAATTAAAACTGAGAAATTAAGACAAAAATATTTGTTAAATCATTAGAAATAACAACAGTAATTACATTTAACACACACAACATGTTTTTTAAAAAAACCCTCTATTTTCCAAAACAAAAAAGTCGTGAAATGAGTAGCATCGTTTGACATTTTTGCAAATCTGTTTCATGTCCGGCTTTAGTAGAAGGTAGCTTAAGTCTCATATTTGTTTCTGCATTCCGTCTGTTGCATGATGACATTTTGGTTGAAGTAGATGAAGAAAATCTGGCCTCATACAGATATGCAGTTGGAAGAGGGAAAAATACTTTAGAAGGATATTCAGAAAACTAGGGCGATTTTTTGATACTACACCCAAACTAGACAAGTTGCAGATTCTGAAT